CTTTTACTATGATTTTTCTTCTTTTTAGTTTTTTTAGTTGGTAAAGCATTTATTTCAGACATAATTGTTTGACTTTTATTTTCAAAGACATCAGAATCATTAATAATTTGTTCATTATTTTGGTGATCCCCATCATTATTTGTGTTTAATTTTATAAAATTTAAACTTACATCATGTTTTTTCTTTTTCTTAGATTTCTTAATAGCAACACATTTATTTTCCAATGAAATATATAATTCATGCTGAATACTTTGGTTTACATTTTCTCTCGCGTTTTCTCTAAAATCAGAATCATTAACTTCTTCATACACTTTTTCAATTATTTGATTTTCTGTTTCATTAGTGTTTAATACTATTGAATTTAAACTTACATCATGATTTTTCTTTTTTCTTTTTTTTATAGGAATATTCTCATTAACATAGTTACAATTATCACCAAATGAAATACCTGCTAAAGTATTTTTTTCAGACTTTCTTTTCCGGTTTACATTCTTCTTAGAATAAGATCCAATTATATTTCGTTTATTAACTTTTTCGTAAGTACTTTCTAACAATTTCATTTCTACATCATTGGTTGTATTTAATTCCATTAAATTTAAACATTTGACAAAATTCTTTTTATTACTTAGTTTTTTATCATTTTCTGTTAAATCAGAACCATTAATATTTTGTTCATTAACTTCTACACAAGTTCTATCAACTAATTTGGTTTCTGCTTCATTAGCATTTAAACTTTTATGGTGCTTTTTCTTCTTTTTAGGTTTCTTAGTTGCTAAAGCATTTATTTCAGACATTTTCTTTTTTTTTCTTAAATTTACTGTGGAATCAGAATCATCAATTATATTCTTTATTTTTTTCTTGTAGTGTAATTTACTTGATTAATGGTATTGCAGAACTTCCAGTTTTTTTTTTTTTTTGTTGTTTCCTGAAATTGTATGAATATATATAATAATTAAATTCTGAACTAGTAATTTGAGTCATAAGTATCTTAAGTTTGGATGAGCAGAGCAGAGTGCTACAGGTATAGCCATATATTTATCATACGAAATATATATATATATATATATATATATATAGCCATATATTGGTTAGTTCACTAGTATGCTGACTGCTCTGTTCATCGATATATTAAATATCTACATATAAGGTTATAGATCAAAATGCTTAGTAAACTCTGCTTAGGAATATGAAATTAAAACTGTATGTTTCCATTCAAAAGATTAAACATTTTAAAAATTTATAGCAATTAAAAATAGTTAATTAAAACATATTTTTCCCAAACATTTTGTTCGTAACAATTTAAATTTATGTAAAAGAAATAGGCTGTCATGCATTATGCCAGCGTTTCTTAAACTTTTTTATCCGTGGAACCCCTAATTCTTTTTACCTTTTTAGTTTTTTTTAGGATTATTTGCAAATAAATTATAATATTAAGTAGAAGTATAGATTATTGAATATATAGAGCCCGATATAGAGTTAGCTGATAGATTATTCCATATGGCTTATACATTATTATTTAATATACAAGTATTATTTTCCATAATGGATATTTTAAAGTAATTTTCTTGAACATTTAAAAAAAATTACTTAAGCTTCGCGGAACCTTGAAGTGATCTACCCTAAGGTTCTGCGGAACACAGTTCAAGCAGTCTACCAGCAAACACGTTCGGTTAGGTCCTGGCCGGTTTTTATATAGACTTTATATATTTATATTATAAAGTTTATCTTTAATAGATACACTTTAATCTTTTTCTTCGGTCAATATTTTATGTTTAATGTCTTATACACAGATAACAATACTTCAACATTTTGTAAAAGTATGTGCTCAATGGCTCAATACGTCATTTATTGTGCGACACCACAACTTATATTTTATACACTTAATATGTTGGCAAAAGATTTTTATTTAATTATTAGTAGTGAAGAATCAACCACAAGTTTTTTAATTGGCAAAAATTTTGTGGCAAATAATGAAAATGCCCAATATCTAAGTGTGAAAGTGGTATGAATTTATACCTACGTAACGAGAGAGGTAAGAAAAGGAGATTTTTACGTTGCAAGAGAAAGGGATGTCAAACAATGCACAGCTGAATGTGAGAAAATTATATTCATATATTCATTTAGCTTATTTTTTCATAATTGTGTGTACTATTATAGGAAAGATAATGCTTTTTTTGATAAACACATTTTTTATAATTAATTTTTTACTAGGTATTACTACTACAATAATTATATTATAATATTATGATATAATTTTTAATTTATTTATTTGCGGTAGACTGCATACTATATTCGTAAATCACCGGTAGACCGCATACTATATGACAACCAARAAATATTTTCAAAAACTTTAATTGTTTCTGAAATAATTAGTGTCTCTCATTAAATGGAACACCATGCTTACAACAGTGTTACCGAGATCTATTCGGGAGATTAATTTTAACGTTTTTTGAAAATACTTTWAATAC